ATATAGTCTTTGATCTTCATCAGTAAGTACTTTAAATCCTCTTCACTTCCCAGCAAGCAAGGTTATGTCATTTGCATATCGTGGTTAATGAGTCTTCCTCCAATCCTGGTGTCACAGTCTTCTTCATATAATCCAGTGTCTCATATTATTTGCTAATCATACAGGTTGAATAAGTATGGTGACACACACCTTTCCTGATTGTGAACCATTCAGTGTTTCCTCATTTTTATCTAACAGCTGTGTTTTGGTCTATGTACAGGTTCCTCAGGAACACAATTCATTTTGGAATGGCATTCTTCTCTGTTAGCTAGAGTTTGTTATGATCTGCATAGTTGAATGCTTTGACATAGTCAGTAAAGCACAAATAGGCATCTTTCGCTTTCAACCAAGAGCCATTTGATGTCAGCTAGGATGGCCTTCATTCTATGGTCTCTTCTGAATCTGGCTTGAATTTCTGACAGTTCCCTGTTGATGTAAGGAGCTCTGATAGCATAGTGGTTATGAGTCGGACTGCTAACCTCAAGGTCAGCAGTTTGAAAGTACCAGCCATTCTATGGGAGAAAGATGAGGGTTTCTGCCTTGGAAACCCTATACAGGGTCGCTATGAGTCGGAACCGACTCCACGGCACACAGTCACCACCACCAGCACCCCTGTCGATGTGCTGCCGTAACCATTTTTGAATTATCTTTAGCCAAATTTTACTTGGTATGTAATAATGGTATTATTTACTGTCTGACTTCTGAATTCTGTTGGATCACTTTTCTTTGTAATGGGCACAAATACAGATCTCTTCTAATTGATGAACCAGGTAGCTGTTTTCTGAATCTCCTGACATGGATGAGTGAGTGCTTCCACTGCTGTATCAGATTGTTGAAACACTTCAGTTTGTATCCCATCAGTTCCTGGAGGCTTGGTTTTTGCCAGTACCTTCAGTACAGCTGGGACTTCTTTCAATGCCATCAGTTCTTGATCATATGCTGTCTCCTGAAATGGGTGAACATCGACCAGTTCTATTTGGTACAGTAACTGTGTGTTCCTCCATCTAATTTTGATGCTTCCTGCCTCATGCAGTATTTTACCCATTGTTGTTATTAAGTGCCATGGAGTCAGTACCAACTCATAGCTACCCTGTCTGCATAGGGTTTCCGAGGAGTGGCTGGTGAGCTTGAACCGCCGACCTTGTGGTTCAAAGCGACCTTGTAGTCCACAGTGCTACACCATAGAATCCTTCAGTATTGCAAGTCAAGGTTTGAATTTTTTTCCCAGTTCTTTCAGTTTGAGAAATGCGGGGTGGGAGCTTCCTTTTTGGTTTTCTAACTCTAGGACTTTGCACATTTCATTTTAATAATCTACTTTGTCTTCTCAAACTGCCTTTTGAAATTTTCTTTTCAGTGTTTTTTTCCCTCATTTTTCAGTTCTTTTACTTATTTCTTTCAGTCACTTTAGTTTTTCTATGTTCAAGAGCAAGTTTCAGAGCCTCCCTCTATTGACATGCATTTTGGTCTTTTCTTTCTTTCCTGTCTTTTCATGTACAACCTTTTACTTTCTTCATGTATGACGTTCTTGATGTCGTCCCACAATTCCTCTTGTCTTCAGTCATTAGTGTCTAATTCATCAACTCTGTTCTTGAGATGGTCTCTAAATTCAGGGGGAATATACTTAAACTCAAAGTCAAAGTCCCAATGTGGTGTCATCTGATAAGCACTGGACCACAAGGTCAGTTTGAACTGTGGGGTTGGCAGTTCAACCTCACCAGCTACTCCTTGGAAACCCTATATCAGGTTGCTATAAGTCAGAACCAATTCAACAGCATTTAACAACAACAATACTCAGAGTCATATTTTGGCTCTCGTGACTTGATTGAATTTTCTTCAGCTTCAATATGAACTTGCATATGAGCACTTGATGGTCTGTTCCATGGGTGACCCTGCTGGCATTCGAAATGCCAGATTTTGGTGATGCAGCTTCCAGCATCACAGCAATGCACCAAACCATCAATCACAGTATGACAAACTGACAGATGAATGGTGGGATATAGTACCACTGTGTTTAGGGGGTGTTGGTGGTGTTATGTGCCATTGTGTTGATTTCAACTCATCACAATCCTGTGTAGGGTTTCCAAGAAGCGGCTGCTGAATTTGAGGTTCAAACTGACCTTGGGGTCCAGTGCTTTATCTCACAGTGCCACACCAGGGTATAAGGTAAAGCAAATGAGATTTATGGGGTAAAAATAGGTATGTGGCAAACATAAACAGCATATGCTTAGAGTGAGGCCAGATACCCTCTTTCTCATTGCTCCCCACCCACACATACGTTCTTCTGAATTTGAATAAATAACTTACCTGAGTAATCAGTTTAATTCTCTGTTTGAGTTAATGTAATTATAACTTAAGCTTGCTTGATTTTTTAAAAAGGCATTAAAAAACAAACTATTTAATGAGTCTCCTTTACCTTTTCATGCTACATCAAGCCCTCAATAAGTAACTTCAGTCAGGGACCCTGAGGCTCTTGGTAGCCAGTGAATGAGTGAATATATGAAGGTTTTATATATTTATCACAGGGACTGGAGACCATGTTAATGCTTAATGGTTTCCAAAATGTGACCTACTTGTTATTCTTTATTAGTTTAGGGAATCTGCATAATTCCTTTTGAGGTTTTTAATCCCTCCTGGATCAAAGAGGGAAAATGTGTTTACATTTTCATGTAAGATTTTATCCATGTTATTTTCAAAAGAGAGCACAATACACAGATTTTGCCCTCCTTAAAGGACGTGTTTTGAGTTCCTGTTGAATATGCAAGCACCTTGGTTGATTACGTTTATTCATTGGGTAGTGGGAACAGAAAATGCTCCTGGGATCTCCGCTTACTAAGCATGCCTACTAGACATATGCACACTCCTGCTCACATACAAAGACACATAGATGCTGACTTTTCATTCATTCCTGCAGAGAAGTAGGTCTCTGGGATGGGTCTTTGAGTTTATCACAGTCACATTGTGCTGACTGGGGGCAGTCCTAGTGGTGAGAGGAAGGGAGACGTTCAGATCTGCGGTGATGGTAGTGGTGATTGTGTGCTAATGAGTCAGTTCTGACTCATAGAGACCCTGTATAGGGTTTCCAAAGCTGTAAATCTTGACTGGAGCAGAAAGCCTCATCTTTGTCCCTAGGAGTGGCTTGTAGATTCGAACTATGACCTTGCGGTAAGCAGCCCAACTTATAACCCACTATGCTACCTGGGCTGATTTAGTCCTGTGAATTATTTAATATGTCTCTTCTAGCCATGATGGTGGTGGTTATGTGCCATGGAGTTGGTTCTGACTTATAGCGACCCTGTATAGAGCTTCCGAGGCTGTAAAGCTTTACCATGGACTTCCAGAAGAACAAACAGATCTGTATTGGAAGAAGTACAGCCAGAATACCCCTTAGAAACCAAGATGGTCAGACTTGGTCTCTTATACTTTGGACATATTTTCAGGAGGGACCAATCCCTGGAGAAGGACATGATGCTTGGTAAAGTGGAGGGTCAGCAAAAAAGAGGAAGACCCCAACAAGTTGGATTGATGCAGTGGCAACGGCAGTGGGCTCAAATATAGCAACAATTGTGAGAACTGGACAGTGCTTCTTTCTGATGGGCATAAGATCGCTATGAGTCAGTACCAAATCAATGGTACCTAACAACAACAACAAATCTTTATGGAAGCAGAAAGCCGCATCTTTCTCCTGAGAAGTAGCTGGTAGATCTGAACTGCTGACCTTTTGTTTAGCAGCTCAGTTTATAACCCACTGTGTTACCAGGGCTCCTTTTAGCTATGTTGTTGTTAAGTGCAGCCGAGTTGGTTCCAGCCCATAGTGACCCTGCACAGGGTTTCTGAAGCTGTAAATCTTTATGGGAGCAGATAGCCTCATCTTTCTCCCGTGGAGCAGCCGGCAGTTTCGAACTGCCTACCTTGCGGTGCACAGCCCGATTTGTAACCACTACGCTACCAGAGCTCCTTTAAGCTATAGCCTTTGTAAACGTCCACCAAACGAAGAGAAGGTGGAGGAAGATGCTGATGTGTGTGATTCACTTGTGAGTGATTGTAAATGAAAATCTAATTGGTTGGGGAGAGGGGGGAGGTTGGTCAATATTATCGTCTGCTAAGTTTAAAATGAGCCATCTCAGAAGCAGAAGGGAGGAATCTCACTACCATCAAAAGGAAGAGCCAAGAGTGGACCCCGAGATCCTTGAACATTGAACCTCCTGGACCCAGGAACAGAAGGCTATAACACCGGAAGAGTTGAGAGGAGCAGCAGCAGCAGCAGAACTAAGATCCAGAGTCTAACATAGAGCAGAGGGCTTCCCAGTCCCCAGAGCAAGTAAAGCGGAATGACTGTGGGCAGGAGGCTTCCTTGCAGAGTCGGGTGCTTCCAGGCACATGACTGGGGGAGCTAGGTGTGCTGACACCTGAAGCCATAGCTGAGTGCCTTCAGGCTGAGGCTTATGGTGGAATGGTGTGTCCTGGGGCATTTACTAGTAGCACTAAAAGAGTTTTCTTAAATTAGGCAGGCTGCCCTGAACATTTCTGACCCTGCACTGTAACCTGTTAACTTCCCTAATAAACCCCGTAACTGTGAGTATGGTGTCTGAGTTCTGTGGGCGTTGCAACAGATTATGGAACAGCTGAGTTAGAGGTCTATGGGAGAGAGGGTTGGTGTCAGGTTTTTGCAAGGCCAATGGGGTAAGCCCAAATCTGTCTAGTTGACCGTGGTGCATGATCAGACTTGTCCGTGGGACCTGGTAACTGGTGGGCAACATGACTGACATGTCTGGTTGCTCTCTTGGACGACCCTAGTGCTTTCCTGCCTGCCACCCCTGCCTCTGGCCTTAGCCAGAGCCCTTGATGATATTGTTTAGAGTAGGGCAGATCTTGAATGGTGACGTGAACGTGAAACCGGTAAATTCAACATCAGCAATAATGATATGTTATTTAAAATTACCTTTTTGAAAACTTTATTACAGAAAAGAAGCGGTTTTATCAGAATGTTAGCATCACACAGGGTGAAGGTGAGTGTTTGAAATTTTGCCTATTTTTTTGTGTGTGTGAGTGGTTGGGAATATTTTCATCTCTGGCCAGTCTTATGGTGAGATGATTCCTCCCCTTTTTGTCAATTATGTTTCTGTAAACCCTTCACTGAACCGACTTAGAGTTGCCTTAGTACCAATTCACATGGCTAGCTGTAGGAATGGTCACAGTTTCACTGAGCACACCCTAAGAGATTTCTATTTGCTTTTGCAAGGTGGCTTTGAGATCAACCTGGACAATCGGAAACTGAAAACACCCCAAGCCAAGCTCTTTACTGTCCCCAGTGAGGCCCTGGCTACTGCGGTGGCCACTGAATGGGACTCCCAGCAAGATACCATCAAATTCTACACCATGCATCTGGTAATGTGCTTATAATGCCAAACTCGGCCCAGTTCCTCACCCCTAACCTTATGACTGCCTTTGGGACTCAGCAAAAAGGTGTATGTCTCTCCAAAATTTGGCCAGACCCTCTGTGTGGGGCTCCAGTCTCTGACCACGCAGCCTCTCCCCGTCATGGTCTTGCTACAAATTGCAACTCTTCAGAAAGGTCCCAGCTGTCTTATTGTTTGTGAGAGCAGCTGCAGTTGTGCACTGTAGGTTTACGTGCTCTTTTGTCTGTCTCCTACTGCACTGCATGCAACATGAAGTTAGGGGCCATGTCGATTCCGTTCACCAGGTATACCCAGCCCCTAGCACAGAGTGTAGCTGGCTTTCAGTAGGTACTGCACTATGGAAGAACTTGGACGTCAGCGTGAGAAGGACTCACTTTGGAGCCAGCCCTCACCCATCTGCACAGATTGATTTACCATAGTCTGTGGCCACTAGGTGGGGACAGCTCACTGAAAGCAGCTCTCTCTCATCTCACTGACTATCTCACATAAGAACTGTGACTGCAGAGCTCCCCAGGTCCAGGTTCTGTGGCTCCCAGACTCTGGAATGTAGGGCTAGTGCCTGCTCCTCTCTCAACCCAGGTCCCCGTCTGAGAGGCGGAACACTAGTGGTACTTGTCAAATGGGATGAGATCAGGATTAAAGGAGGTGATGCATGTGAGGGTCTGGCCAGGTGCAGGCACAGGTGAGCATTATAAGTGTTATCGTCTTGATCATTGCTGCGCTCCTCGAGACAGGCAGACCTTGGGGGACTTTCTTGTAACTTTTTTTTTTTTTAAGTTTTTATTGTGAATTGAGTGATAGTTTACATGGGAGAACATCAGCTTTACACTCATCCTATCGTATTTTGTTTCATTGCAATGATTACAATCCCCTCCATGTATCATCATTCAACAGTATTTACTTCTATTCCCTCTTTTTTTTTTTTAATGTACACCAAAATACTCAGGACTATACAGTCATTCAAATAACCAAAGGCATAACCTGCAAGCCAGCCCCGCCAGGCACTAGCACTCAACCCCTCTCCCTCCCTGAGTCTAGAGTCCTCAACTGCTCCATCTCTCCACGTCATCATCTCTGCCTCCATCTCTGGCATCACTGCTTTTCTGGATAGGGTCCCACACTCCGCTCCTGCTCTTCTCCCCTGATGGTCCCAGGGTTCCTCGGCTCCTGGACTGCAAGATCAACCACTCCCCTCTTTTTGTTACAAAACATCTACATCAGTCCTGATAACTATTACTCACTATTGAACTACAAGAGTCTTTTTCCCATCTCCTTTCACCAGCCCCATCTAGACAGGTTGAAAAACACTCATTAGAGTTTCTGCCTTTCCCTGTACCCTCTAAAACTAAACTCCCTCTTGAAAACTTGTAAGCCAGTCACTTTGTGCCTTTATAGCCACCCCATTTTAGGTAGCCAATGTCTAAGTTGCCCATCTGTGTCAACCCTATGTATTGCTGTAAAGATTCATTCCCTCTTTTAAGCTACTACATCCATGAGTATAGGTCAGGTTCATCAAATTGTAGCAGATTATGCTTTTTTCCCCTCTTCTTTCTTCCTCTAGTTGCGTTCTGATCAACCAGCCATTGAAGCTAGGTCAAATGGGTACCATCTGCAAGTGTCAGTGTTCTTGTAAATCTCTCCTCACTTCATATCACTTGGATATTTCATTCTCTACTGTAGTCCTCTGTGGCTATGTCCATGTCCATGGGCTCAGGAGTCCCCAGGTCTCACCATTTTCTTGTAAACTCTGTGGCATTTTGTGCTGTTGCCTTTGATGGCCTGGCTAAAGTTGGGTGATTGGAACTACAGTGTATTTGTTAGAGTAACCTAAGGAACCCACTGTTGCCAAAGTAAATCTAGAAAAACAATCCCAAACCTGATTTGGATGATTTGTTTGCCTGCTTTCTGAGGACTTGGGGTGCCAAGTGGTAAAGCTAGCAGTTAGCAAGTTTGCATTCCAAATCTGCTTAGGTTAGTGGTGTCTGATGTCTTGCTTTTGGTCTCAGTTTCCACCTCTCTGAAATGGGTGAAATGACAGTACCTACTCCACAGTGCTGTGGTGAGAATTACATGAAATACAGCAGAGTTGGGTAGTCACGAGCATGAGACCTTGCGGGGGAGTCCATTCATTCTAAGGCTCAGCGTCCCTTGCTAAGTGGGGGCAGTGGTTCCTGCCTAGAAGAGCTGGCTGTCTTGGGGACCCCGTGAGCGTCTAGCACAGGACCTGCTGTGGTGAGCTTTCAGCAGATCTGCTGATGTGGTAGCTGTCGGGGCCCCTGGATTCCTCCCTCAGTGTAGTGGTCTGCTTGTGTCCCTTTTGCTGTGTGTTGGGTACAGTGTCCTCAGAAAGATCATGCTTCAGCCCAAACCCTCAGGGTGATCGTGGACATTCTCTGCTTCTTGACCCAGACCACTTTGTGTAACACTTGTTTGGATAACCCAACCCAGCGAAGCAAAGACCAGCTGATTCGGGCGGCTATGAAGTTTCTGGACACCGACACCATCTGGTAAAGAACGTTGTAGGCTCTCCCCTGGGACTGAGGGTTACCACTGGGCCACTTTGACTTTTGTGCCAGGCAGTTGTCATGGCAGGGCAGCAGACTGACTTCTCTCCTACACGTTACTAGGTGCCTTGGCTAAAGCCATGTCAGAACATGGGTCTCAGCCCTCTTGCTGCCCAGCCTCTGCCCCTGGTCTGGGTTGGTTACAGGCAGCACTTCAGACTCCAAAACCCAAGAGGCACTGCCAGCTCCTTGTCTTCTGCCACCTACATCCAATTCATGTAGGCATTCTTCTCACTCCTCACCTTGGTCACACAGAGCTGACTTCTTCTGGTTCTAAGTTCTCCCTGTGTTTCTGTTCTCTGACCAGTCAGTCAGTAGTACTAAGGGAGGAACTTTGCAGGGAAGCAGCTGTCTCTGCTCTCTGCTGATCTGAGGGCCCAAGATCCTAGGTTGACATCTGAAATCAGTGCTGAAGATGAAGGCATGAAGATGCTCCTGACCAGGTGGCGTTAGTGCTCACACTAAGCTGCTAGCCAGAAAGCTAAGTACATTTGGGTTAGGGTCATTTGCTTGAGAGAACGGAAACCACCCAACCTAACTCAGGTAAAAGGGGTCCTTAGAGCTGGTAGAGGGACTCTGGCCTGTTGGGATGGACCACCAAGGATGGAATGCTAGACTCAGTGCCTTACCTAGTTTCTCCTTTTTCCCACTCCTGCTTCTGCTCCCTTATGCCAGATCTTCTCCCTGCTTACACGGGCCAGGGGCTTTCCACAGGGCCAGCCAGGGTCTATCCCATAAGGCATTGCAGTTCAGCTCCCTCAGTTGACTCAGTCTTAATGTTTTTTCCTGGTCTCTGAGTCGAGTCCCCTTGGGGCAGGCTTTCCTGTAGCCTTGGCACCAACAGGTGGGGATGGGCTTGAGAGGCACACACTGTGTCTTAGGAGTGGGGAGGCCAGCTTTCCACAGTCTGTGTTCAGCACCACAGCGTCACGTGCATGTGGACCCAGGATACACCTGCCAGCTCTTACCTGTCCACGAACGGGGTGGGAGGCAAAGAGCAAGTGGCTCCATATATGGTAAGCACTGGACATCAAACCACAGGTCTGTGGTTTGAACCTGACATCCCCTCTGCGGGAGAAAGATGAGGCTTTCTGCTCCCTGGAAGAGTTCAAGCCTAGAAAACCCTAATCCGGGTCGCTATGAGTCAGAATGGACTCAATGGCCCTTAATGACTGTGTGTGTAGGGGGGGTTCTCACCAGGAGGGCCAGACTGCTGAATCCACCCTCGAGTTTCTGACTCCACTGGAGCCAGTCCCCAGGTACTGCTCAGACTGCTGCTACCACACTTTGAGAACCATTGCTTTAGGGGAAAAGGCTCGCATGCGGGGCTGGGGTGGTAGAGAAGTGTTTACTCTGGCCCTTGTGTGTTGCTGAATGAAGGAACTGTGCTTTTTTTTTTATTAATGAAGGTAATTTTTACAATGAATTAGCTATAGAGTGGAGGAGCCAGAGACATTAGTGGAACTTCAGAAGAATGAGTGGGACCCCATTATCGAGTGGGCTGAGAAGAGGTAAGATGTGCCATCCTTCTACTCCCAGGCAAGCCTTTACTAATCACCAGGACTGGGGGCAGGCTCGGGACCCAGGGTCACATTGGACAAACCCTTGGCTAGTCATCTTTTTGAGTTCAGATGTCCCTGGGATTAGGTATCTCTTAGACATTCAGGGACAGGGTTACCTAGGGACCCCAAGTGTTGTCCTCAGACTGTCCCAAGGCCAGCACTGGGCACCTGCTCTTGGGCAACACTGGGACCCCCAGGCCACCCTCTCCAGCAGGTCAGAGCAGCGGTGTCTGTCTGTAAAGGGGAGCTAGTGATGCCGCGTCTCGGGCTGGAGGAGGAGTGCATGTGCCTTGCTCACACGCTGCCAGCTGCCATCTGAGTCATCACACATTGTACTCAAGTGGTTCCCAAAGCAGTGCATTTGGCCCTCCACTTACACTGGGCATCCACAGGTAGTGCTTCTCTGTTGTGTGGATCTATAGCTGGTGACTCCCAGCATTTTTCTTTGGTGAGAAGTCTCTGGAGTGTAAAATTAAACAAACAGGCTTTTAAAAAAAAAAAAAAAAAAAAGTGTGATTTAGGTTTGGTTGAAAGTTTACATAGCAAACTAGTTCATACCCATTTTGTTTCATGACATTGATTGCAGTCCTCACAATGTAATAGCGCTCTTCCCACTTCCTCCCCGTGTCTCCTGTTCCCACTCATCCTGCCATCTGAGCTTTGTCCCAAGGCAGATGCTACCCTTTTGGTCTTCTATGGCTGATTGTTCTAAGGAATGCCTCCCTCCCTGGTATTCCATTTTATTTATGATTACATTACATTATAGAGGCTTGATGGGCTGGCAGAAGAAACTCGATTTGATTTCACTGCAAGGGAAATTTGGGAGGGCTGACATGTGGTGCTGTCTTGACCACCATACTTTTTGAACTTACATGGAATATTATTTTGGTGTAGAATTTTTCATACAAGTGAGTCCCTTGATCTGTCTTCATTTGCTACCTTTCTCTACAATGTGCTAGGCCCCTGCAGTTTTACAGTAAAAGGCACCCGAGCTCCACGGGACTTAAAGAAAGAAATTTAGTTGAGTGAGGTGTTGGTGTTGAGTTGACCCAAGTTAGGGCAGTCCCATGTTTGTCAGAGTAGAACCATGCTTTGTGGGCTGTCAAAGGCTAATTTTTCAGAAGCAGATTCCTAGGCCTTTCCCGAGGCACGTCTGGGACTTGAACCTCCAGCCTTTTGGTTAGCAAATGAATGATTAACCCATCCAGGGACTCCTAACAGCTACAATACTAGGTGAGAAATATGAAGGTACAGCATCATTTCATATCTAAATAAATATAAAAATTTTAGATACTTAGAGATCTGTACTATGATGCAAAATAGCCTGGGTTTTTTGTGGCATTTGAGCTTCCTGTCTTAAATAGTTTACAGAAACACTTAGCCATTTTCTACTCTTCAATTTGTACGAATTTCAGCAAGGATATTTTTAAACCAGCAGGGAATCAGTGATATATGAAAGGAATTACAGAAGTAGTTTCCTCCATTTTATTCTTTGTGTGCTTTAGGTAGTTATGATTATTCTTGAAGATTTATTGTTGCTTGAAGCTAGCAAATAATCTGTAGATCACAGGCCAGAAACAATGCTCTGTATAGTGTAGAGGCTATAAATATTGTTGACTAAAAATAATGATTGAGTTCTATAGGACATATATAAATAGTATTTTAAGGAAAGGAATATTTGAAAGAACTCTTTTATGGCCTCAGATGTGAAAGACTTTGTAAAAAAGTTTAAAAAGCAGATGTCCATGCATTTGCTAAAGATTCCAGGACAGTTTCCAGCAGCTGTGCACACACATACACTTAGCTTGCAAAACTCACCAGCCATTCAGGGTGGTTTCTTAGTCCCCTTGTTAGCTATAGGCGGATGAGAAACTGGCCAGTGGCAGTAATTTCCAGAACCCCCAAGACTAGCTTCTTGGCCAGGTATCCTGAAGGGGCACAAAACTGCTCAGCAGTTTAGGTCTTTGTTTCTGGGCCAGAGCTAGGCCGCTCTTAGGCTATAGAAGTTGGAAAAGTTGAAGCTTTTTCCTTTCAGATACGGTGTGGAGATTGGTGCCTCCACCAGCATCATGGGGCCCAGCATCCCAGCCAAGACTCAGGAGGCGCTGGCCAACCATCTGGCATCTTACAACTTGTGGGCCCTCCAAGGTATCCTTGGAGCTTGCTGGGGCTGGGAGGGGTCTGTGTCTGGAGCCTGTGCTCGCCCCTCCCTAAGGGGAGTGGCTCTGAGCATGGAGGCTGACTCTAACTCCAGCCTTTTGACTTAGCCTGTGCTCCAGGCCCCTACTCTGCCAGCGGAAAGCTGGCTTTCTCTTCTCCACAACAAGGCTTGGGTCATATGCCCAGCCCTGAACCAGTTCCTGGGTAAGGTGTGTGGAATGCTCTGATTGCCAGGTACAACTGCTCCAGATAAGAGCAGAGGCCCCATCCCCAAGGAAGGGCAGAACACTCTTCAGAAGTAAAGGGGGGTGGGTACAGAGCAGGTGCATACAGCAGCTGCTTTCTTGGGCCATTCTCTCCAGTCGGCGCCCTTTTTACCACTCCTTAGGATGCAGGAAGGAGCTCTGGTGACACAGTGCTTTAAGCTCTTGGCGCTGAACCACAAGGTCTGCCATTAGAACCCATCTGTGCACCCCCAGAGAAAGATGTGGCAGTCTCCTTCCGTGAAGATTTGCAGACTTGGAAAACCCTGCAATTTAACTCTGGCCTATAGGGTTATGAGTTGCGGCCAACTCACTGGCATTGGGTTTGGGGTACAAGGACTCGGGGCAGGGGCATTCTGGCCCTGACTTGGCTGGTGTCTGGCAGGGATTGAATTTGTGGTGGCCCAGCTCAAGTCCCTAGTGCTGACCTTGGGTCTGATGGATCTGCGCCTGACGGTGGAGCAGGCTGTGCTGCTGTCACGCTTGGAAGAGGAGTACCAGGTGAGGCGGGCCACAGTCATGGGGATGTCCCAGTTCTCTCCCTAGCTGGGGAGGAGGAGACACTGATAGACTACAATAGCACCCCTTCCAAATTCACACAGATTTGAGCGACAGGTAATCCATCTGAGTTTTTTCATGCAAACTTGGACCTTTCATTACTGTCATGTGCATACTGAAACCAAAACTAAGGGTCAGTAGAAGTATTGCTAGAGATCATCGGATCATGGCAATCAGTTTGACCCGGTGTACAAGTGCTGTGGTTGCACCTCGCCATGGGGTCTCGCCTTGAAACAGGAGGAGATGAAGGCACAGGTTGACATGGTTGGGGGATGTTCAAGCTGGGTCCTAGAACCCAGGCCTCCTCTCCCCCACAGATGCTTGTGGACAGATGTAGACCATCTGGGCCCAGTCTACATGTAAAGTGCCTTCATTGCTGGATGCCTCGTGTGCTCCTAATTAGGCTAGCCCTGCTTCAGCAGGTAGACTGGCGGGCAGTACACAAATTCTGGTTTCATGGGCTCAGATTCCATTATGTTTTGTTACACTATCACAGTTTATACTCTGGAAGTCATAATGATCTTTACAATCATTATGTTACTAGGAGCTGGTTCTCAGTATGATGAAAATCTCCTTGAGTGGTATTATTTCCGAAGTCCATGGAGTTCATCTGCTGATGCAGAAAATGCTGAGGGAACATCCTTTCCTGGATAACAAAGAAAGCCAGCTCTTTTTTTAATGTTATAAAGGATTGAATGGGTGGAGTGTGATGTGTAGTATTAGGGGATTGGTGGGAAACCAGGAGCCCTGATTTCTAATCTGGACACAACATTTGGCCATGGGTCCGTGAGCCAGGCAGTCAGTCTCTGAACTTCGTTTCAATCCTCCACAAAGTGAGGGCAGCCTGGATGACGTGCCAGGCCCATCGGAGGAGTCCTGGTGTGGCACTGCAGGTTGATGCTCTGGACTCCAAAGTTGGTTTGAACCATAAGGTTGGTGGTTCAAGCTCACCAGTCGCTCCTTGGCACTTAGCAACAACAGTCATCTGGAAGCATTACTTGCTCTTCAGAAAGTACATCCAAACTGAGACTGGACAGCCCAGAAATGCAGAGAATTGTAGGGCTTGTCAGATTGAGGATGACAGGACAAGCTGGGGTGGCCAGGCCAGGCTTCCTGGGCCCCCACTAAGGGAGAAGCCAGCAGATAGGTAGGGCTAGGATCAGGCCTTCCTCCCTCTGGGTCTCAGATCCCTGTGGTTCTGTCTAGGACCCTTCAGTCCTGGGCATTCCTCAGAGTCAGAGCTGCAGCTCACCACAGGCCCTCGGGGCACCCTTCCTTCCACCCCCACAGGTGGGGCACTTAGGGTCCAGGTGCCTGCCCCAGCAGGAGAGAGCACCGACCCACCCCACCTCACCTCTACTCAGAGTGTCTGGCTTTCCCCTCAGATCCAGAAGTGGGGCAACATCGAGTGGGCCCACGACTATGAGCTGCAGGAGCTGCGGGCCCGCGCAGCCGCCGGCACCCTCTTCGTGCATCTCTGCTCCGAGAGCACCACCATCAAACACAAGCTTCTGCAGGAGTGAGACCTGCGGTGGGGCCTTGTGGCGGCAGCACCTTGAGGGGCCCTAGCCAGCACAGGCAACGGGCTATACGTGACTTTCTCTTATTTTAGTGACCTTTATTTTATTAAATATGTCTCCATTCTGGAAACCTGTCCTGTTTTTATTTGCATGTCCACTTTTCCCATTCTTGTGATGTCTGTGTCACCAAGGTTAAGCTGATCTTCCATGGACACATTGTAATACCTGCTGCCCTGGGTTGGAAGGAGCCCTGGTTGTTGGGCTGCTAGCTACAAGTTCAAATCTACCAGCCGCTGTATGGGAGAAAGATGAGACTGCCGGCTCCCGTAAAGATATACAGCCTGAGAACCCCAGTGTCGAATGACCCTGAATTAGAGTGGACTTGATGGCTATAGGTTTGGTTGGTCCTGGGTTGGAACTGTACACGGCAGAAAAACCACACCCTGACAGGTATTGTTTACCCTTAGGCTTCCTGATTTACAATGAAATGGCTTTCAAAGTAGGTCCTTCATCTAAGCCTGTTGTGTCTGTTTCTTCTTACTATTCTAGAAAAAAATCATTTGCTGTAGAAAATACAAGTTGTATCTGGGTGTAAAAGCCAGAACAGGAACAGGGCAGTCCTGTGACATTTAGGCTTCTTTCAGGGTCACCTCCATGTTCTGCAGCTAAGGTTCCCCCATAGTCACCTCCACATGCTTTACACCTGAGTCCCCCAAATGGTCCCCTCTGTGTCATCTAGCGTTGAAGCACACCCTGACGGCGATGTCATATGCACTTCTGGGAGCCCACGCACGGTTCCCATCACATCCATGCTTGGGTCTCTCATGCAGTCACTGGCCTATCTTCTAGCCCCGCCCCCACCCACTGACTACTCCACCTCTCCACAGCCAGCTCCCACCACAGGGTCACCAATTCGTCCTCCATGTCCAGGTCCCCTCCCTTAGAGTCACCTCCATGTCTTATGTGCCCAGATCCTCCATCAGGCCTGAGTGTCTGGGTCCCCCACACTATGACCTCTTCCACACTCACACCACCTCCGTGTCCAGATGCTCCACCAGAGTCACTGTTAGAACCTTCATGCTATGTTCCTCCCTACAAGGTCATGTGACATCTTCCACCCCAGGGTTCTCCTACACAATCACGGTCACATTCTCCTCCCCTGCATCCCCCACACGGTCACTTCCGTATCCTCCATGGCTGGATCGTTAGCCATGCTCACTGTCATGTCCTCCCAGCCCACAATCTCACCATGGTCAGCTTCATGTGCTCCACACCCAGCCTTCCCCTACATGATCATTGCAGTGTCTTCTATGATCAGGTCCCCCAATAAACAGTGACCTCCTCCATGCCTGGGTCCCCCAACCAGATGATCTCCCAGAGCTCCAGGCCCAGGTCCTCCACATAGCCAGTTCCATGTTCAGGTTCCCCCACATGGTCACCTCCACACCCTCCATGCCTGGCTCCTCCACCAGGGTCAGCATCACAGCTTTCATACCCAGGTCCTCCTACGTGTCACGCCATGTGCCTAAGTAACCCCCACATGGTCACCTCTCTTTCTGCCATGCCTGAGTCTCCAAGGTCACTTCCATGGTCATCTCCATGGCTCCCATGCCTGGGTTAACCCCACACACCCCATCTTCCATGCCCAGACAGGGTCACCACTCTACCCACAATGCCTGAGTTTCCCCTCGTGGTCACTCACATCCTCCACACTTTGGTCCCCACCTATGGTCACCTTCATGCCTTCCACAGCCAGCTCCCCCCACATGATCATCTCCACTTCTTCCAGGTCTGGATGCTTCACCAGTCACCATCATGTCCTCAATGCCCAGGCCCTCCCTTATGGTCACTCCCACATTTCCCATCGGAGTCTAGGTCACATCCTCCAGGCCTGGACCGCCCACAGCCATCATAATTTCTTCCCTGCCCAGTTTCCCTTTCATGGTCACCGTCTATGCTGTAGCGAATTATCTAATGTCACTTTTCTAGCCATACTCTGGTGGCAGTTGGGTACAGTGAAGTTGAGTCTGACTCATAGCGAGCCTGTATAGGGTTCCTGAGGTTGTTAAGTCTTTACAGGAGCAGAAAGCCTCATTTTTCTCTGTGGAGTGGCCAGTAGATTTTAACTGCTGACCTTGCAGCAGCCCAATATACTACCAGAGCTCCTTAGTTGTTGTCTGTAATCCCCACCAAACAACGTCTCTGCCCTGCTGGGATCTGCGTAAGAGAAGGTGAGAGAAGACACTGATAGGATGGCATGGTTCAGCTGTGGATGTTAGCAGAGTTCATTGTAATTGTAAAACCTGGAAACTCTAGCATGGATATAAAATGATCCATCTCAGAAGTAGGAGGGGGAATTTCACTACCATCAAAGAGGAACCTGGTGGGGAGCACATCCTTTGGATCCCAAGATCCCTGCACACTGAACCTCCTCAACCCAGGGACAGAAAGCTGTGACACCAGAGAAGTGGTTGAGGAGCCACAAGCAGCAGCGGAGCCAAGAACCACAAGGCGGAGCAGTGGGCTTTCCAGCCCACAGAGCAAGTGAAACAGTGACTTTGGGCAGGAAGCTTGCTTGTAGAGTGGGGTGCCTCCAGGCACTTAAATGGGAGGGTTAGGTTTGCTGACCCTTGAAATTAGAGTTGAGTGCCTTTAGGCCGAGGCTTATGGTGGAGTGGTGTGGCATTTATCAGTAGCTGACTGGAACAACTGTGTCCTGAGCATTTTCTGACCCTGTATTGTAATAGCTGTTAACTTCTCTAATAAACGCCGTAACTATGAGTATGGCGTCTTGAGCTCTGTGTGCCCATTTCAATGGATTATCAAAGACAAAGGAGGAATAAGTTGTGGGAGGGATGGTTGGTGCTTCATATTTTACATCGTCACGTCCTCCATGCTTTATTCCTCATCTGGATCCTCTCCTTGGGTCACCTGCAAGTCAACCAATTCCATAGCCCTCCTATACAGTCACTATTTTGTCCACCAGCCAGGTCTTCCTACATTATCACTTCCACATCCTCCACAGCTGAGTCTCGCCCAGTCACCTCCATGCCTTCCACATTCAGGTGCCCCCCTATGGTCACCTTTACAACCTTTATGACCATGTCCCTGCACACAACCATTTCCACCTCTTGGGTGTACCACTACTTGGATACACTCACATAGTCACCATCACATCCTCCATGCCCAAGTTCCCCCACATAGTCATCTCCCACAACTGAGTTCCCCCAATTTCCCTGTCATGTCCTCCAGATCCAGGCCCCCACACAGTTGCCTTCACATTTCTGTGCCTGAGTCCCCCACATGGTCACTGTCATATCCTTCTATAGTCACCACCAATCACATCTTCCACACTGGGTCTCGGTATCTACATGGTCACCTCTGCATCTTCCATTCCAAGATGTTTAACCAGTCAGCCCACCACCCTGGTCATTGTCACTTTCTCTAAACCCGCATTTCCCAACATAGTCACTTTCATGTCCTCTAGGTTTGGGTCTCCCAACATTTTTTCCCAATGAACTTTTATTAGTGATTTATAAAATGTTACACACTTCCATACTATTAGTGTCCAATGTAGATTCCTGGTATGGCGCTTAGGCTCAGCACTGGACTGCAAATCACAAGGTCGACAGTTCAAAGCCACCAGATGCTCCTTGAATACCTTATACAGTGTTGCTGTGACTTAAAACCAACTCAACAGCACTAAACAACAACAACAACAAAGTGTCCAATGCATAGCAAGTAGAAAACATTAAAGCTACAAGAACAATCAATGCTCTCAATCAATGCTCTTCATCAATTTGGTGTGCTGGTCCACCTTGAGTTTTGATAGAATGCTTGGAACCATCACATGACAGATTCTCAGGGAGCTGTGATCACCACACCTTGGACTTGAAGGACAAAAGAAAGGGCACAGGGGCTCAGTAGCAGAAATCTTAGCAAAACTGAAGATATGGGCTCCATCACTAACATGGCAAAAGGAAAGTTTTCCAAAGTCTACATTCAAGAAAATGCCCACTTGGTGTAATGGTAGGCTCACCAAGAGGGCTGTTGGAGGCACTGTGTTGGCTGAGAAGTACCAGCTCTTTCTATAATTCAGAGTCCAGAACCCATTCTGTAGACATGATGACTTTTTTTTTTTTTTTTTGTCACTTAACAGATTCTCTGAAAATGCCCAGATCCCATTCTTGGCTTGTTCCCATCTCCACTTCCCAGTAATGGTGACCAGAGGTGAATCAAGAGGAGCCCAGGATACAGAGTGATTGGTTGAATATCTCAGCGTGATCTTTCAGCTTCTGATTAACAAGTCCATGTCGAATGTGCTGCACATCCTCAGAAATGATGAATTTATTGGTTGTGTCAGCATCCAAGGTCATAACCACTTGGAATTTGCATATTTTTGGGTTCCGTTACAGAATAACTCTCAGGTGGGGCTCCAATTCCTTAACCTTGGACACTTGACTTCCCAGCTAATGAAATATCTTGATATCATTATTCTGAGTGACCTCATGGCAGACAGGGTACAATACACCCTCCCCATTGAGTTCTGTCTGCCGTGAATTGAGGCAGTAGAGGCAGCCTCCACAACTGGGTTCTCCCCATGGTCATCATCATACCCTTCACATCTTTTGTGCCTGGGCCCCTCACATGTCACCATCACGTTCTCTAACCCTGGCTCCCCTCCATAGTCACCACCACATACTCCTCACTGGACTCCTCCAGTAGGATCACTATCAAGTTTTCCATGCCCAGTACCCTGACATGGTCACCTCCACAAACTTCCATGCCCGGATCTTCCACCAGTGTCACAATTACATCCTCCAGGCCCATGCCCTCCCTCAAGGTCCCCATACACAGTTACCTCATGTTCTCCATGGCCAGATCCTTCACCAGGCTCACTGTCATATCCTCTAACACCAAGACTCCCACATTATCAACATCATGCTCTTAAGGTCTGCACCCCCCACCAATATGGTCACCTCTACGTCCTCCATGCCTGGTCACCATCTTG